ATTAACATCACATTACACAGAAAAATTTTATAGGGTCAATTTATCACTAAATATCGCTTCCATGGAGTATCACGTGATAACCACACCAGCATTCAGCAATAACGAAGTCGTACACTAAAGAATTCATTAATTTATATTAAATAAATGCTAATCAATACTATCTAAAAGTGATTTTTCATGTATTAGTATCTTCGTTAATATTTCCTAAATCATTATTAACAGTTGTTGCACTTTAATTATTTTTTCTCTCGGAAAAAACATCATAAATAGCACGAATTGTTGTCGCATTAGGAATTTTTTTTCTCCAAATTACCTAGTAGTAATTTTAAAAAAATAAATAATAAAATAAAATAAAGAGTATAAATAATTTAACCGACTTTATTTTAATGAAAATAGAAAGGAAATTAATACTTCAAAAAAATGTAAAATTTAAAAATGAAGAATCTAATTTACTCAATGTTTATTAAATATTTATGGAGTAAAGTATTCCCACAACAGTCTGTTATGGGCCAGGGAGTCATGGAGGTTAAGTCTCCACTATTTCGTGACCAACGACTTGATTGTGACATTATGGCCAGCACTGCGTATAGGCCGCCTTTACTTTCCATCCAAGCTGGTACCCATCGATCTATTTCTTCCAATATAAGTAAATAACATATCGTTGACATTGAAGATCATTATACCAAATAAAATTCTAATTGAATATAAATTACATTTTATAAAATTAACTAATTTCGGTATCTTATATGTTGAAGAAATCATCTATATGAAACATATGCTGAACAAGTATTAATAAACTCATTTATAGAAAAAAGTCTTTGTTTCGAATTCGATAATTGTTAGTGGCTAATAATTGTTTTTCCCTCAAACGTCGTAATAATAAAAATATATGAATCACTCATCATTTAATTAGCGGATTAGAATGCTTTATTTTATTTTGCATCATTCAGATAATTGTGGAAACAAACATTTTTAGCGAAAGTAATTTTTAAAAAAACCTTTATTTATCTTTGTCCTGTAATGTCATTTTTCTCATTGTAACTTTCACTGATAGTTCAACAGAGCAATATTAAGTATAAAAATAGCAACGAAATGTGAATACAAGTACTTGATAACATTTACTATATACATAACATACTACATTCACCTCTGGATTGTAAGTATGACGTGACTATGATCCCATTGCATAGTTTTCATTTCTTTCAACAAAAAAAACGATAAATTGAAAATAGGGCTTATCATTATAGTGCGAGCCCTTCATATGTAATTTGCATTCTGAAACTATTAACATACATACTGAAATAATACATATGTGAGGAAAATATTAGCTTCATAAATAATGAGTTCTAGAAATGTATTTAAGTTTTTTAAGCAAAAAATAAAGCTAAATTTTTTACTATATTTTTATGATTTAGAGGAAAATAGCGTGCTAGTTAAGGAGTATATGTTTATTCTTTAATTATTTGCTAACATTTCGTTTAAACGTCTTTCTGAAGTATCCAGAAGCATGACTCACTAAATAATAAAATCTTAATTTGCATTTCTCTTCTTTTATTTGATATATAAATGTACTAATTAGAATACTTGAATGACATTATTTAAAATGTTGCTATTAAACTACACACCTTTTACCTACGTGTAAGAAATAAAAGAATGCTGCTTAATGATACTTAAGAAACAAAAGAAAAGAATGAATTTTAAATCTAGTCTAAAAATAATTACGGGAATATTATAATGGAAATCGGTTTCAAAGTTCTTAGAAACTGCAGCCTAAAGCCTACACTTCAAAAGGAACGCTAAACCAATTAAACTGATGGAAACGTGACTGAAGAATATCAATATTCTGAGAAACTTTAAAAATAAATTCTAAAAGCTAACTTTAATTGACTTACACTGCAACTAAAATATTTTGAAAACAGATCAATGACAATTAGTTTTGAGATGTTTAAAGCACGTTTTGGAAAGTAATTAGGAAGTCACTTTACAACTTAGTCTCAACATATTAAAGCTAAACAGTATTTAATTATGTAGCTAAAATTAGGGGGTTGAAAGTTTGATGGTTTTATATGAAAAATAATCTTAATATACTGCGAAAAATTTTGGACCGTAAAACATTTTTAACGAAAAAGAATTTTTACATCCTTCCCTCTCAACTAAAGCACAAAATCATATCGAAATTTTTTTAATTTAAAATCTGCTAAAAATATGCTTTTTTAATCAGTAGTTTTTACAGACGTCCTGTGTAAGGTAATAAAAACAAAATTTTAAGGAAGAATAAAAAAATTTTGAAATTATATGCTATGAGTTAAACATGTAGTTAATCCAAAATTGAATTTAAAATTTAAGGTATCTGACTAAAGCAAAAACATGATTTCGGACAAAATTTTTGAAATTGAGTTTTTTATAAATTTTAAAATTTCTGTAGTTTAAGTTTTTAAAAAATATTTTACTTTTGTTTTTACTTCATTTATTTGCAAAGTCAAAGCAGTTTTTGTGCAAGGTGATAACACTGGATAGACTAGGGATTTAAAATCTTTAAGTGTTTTTATCTCAAAATCAGATTTTTTTTTTCACTTTTTACACCACCTTAAACACGATAGTTGTTTTTAAAATAATTGTGTACAATTTTTCATGAGTGTTTATGATTTTAGCACACATGTTTTGAACTGTAGACTAAGATAAAAGAAGAATTTAATTTTTTTATACAGGTTTCTTCGCAAAGGACTGATGACAAATGGCAAAATTATTACAGTTTAATGTATTTATAAAAATGAAATAAATTTTTAAGGAATCTTGTGTATGACAAAATCTACTTTAAGGGAAAAATAAAAGAACAATTTATGCAAAAGTATAACACTCAGTGCCAGATTATTCAGAAGGCCTGAGAGACCTTTGCTTAGGACCCCTCATCTCTGCGCCTCTAAATATTATTAAAAAAAATTTTCCTTTAGAATTATTCTTATTAGAATTATGTGTTCAAATTTATTAATATAATTAATTTGCCTTTGTTATAAATAACTTAAAAATGAGTAAATAAACAACAAATATTGCATATTCATATTATACATGTTTATATTAATGCATGTTTATATTAATGCATATTTAAATTAATACATATTTAAATTAATACATATTTAAATTAATACATATTTAAATTAAAACATATTTGATTTATTGTATGTAATTCACGAGGAATTGGCAGAATGCTGGATATACCAATCAGCACAGTGCGTAAAGTAGAAGTCCCACGGAACATCTTGAGCTGTTACCTGTACAAGATAACTCATGTGCAGCAGTTGCTACCTGCTGACCTGGATGCACATGAATCTTTTGCACTACGATTGCTTACTCGGATGGAAGTTGACAACGAATTTCTATGGAACATTCTGTGGTCTAGCGAAGACCACTTCCATTTGCAAGGTTCTGTAAATACGCAAAATTGCTGGATATAGGTGTCAGAGAATCCGTTCCAGCCATTACCTCTTCACTCTGATTAGGTAACTATGTGGTGCGAAATAACGGCAGAGTTTGTCGTTGGTCCGTTTTTCTTCGAAGAGATCACACCTACCGATCCTGTTACTAGCAAACGGTATGAAGCACCTTTGCATAGCCATGTCCTTCTGGCACTTCAGTGTCAGTGTGTGGATGGGAGAATATTCATGCAATATGGCGCTCCTCCGCATATTGCCACTCCCCTGAAGCAGCTGCTGAGTGATCACTTTGGAGATGATAGGATCATAAGACGCAATTTTCCAACAACGTAGCCGCCACGTTCCCCCCACTTAAGCCCGTGTGATTTCTGGCTTTAAGGGACCTTAAGAATGTTATTTACAGCTGACGGATCAAGCCGACTTGAAGGCAAGCATCACACACCACATCCATTGCATCAGTACAGAGACCCTCTTATCCGTTGTGGAACGTGCCGTTTTGCACTTCCAATTTTTAGCGAAACGAAGCCGAGGGCAGTAAGATGTTTGTTCGATGAAGCTCTTTTTTCTTCTTTTTGGCATTATCACTATTTTCGCTGTAAATACGCATTCTTGTCTTATCACTGATAATTTTTTTTAGTGAACCCCAAAATTATATCGTTTCCTTTTGGCTAACAACATTCCTGTGTGTAACGAATCCATTTTTGGTCTTTACCCAGACAGGAACTATTTTTTTCCTTTGCCATACAAAATTGCATTGCCTCACGATTGTTCTGCTAAAATAACAGGTCTCTCTAATGAGTAGTTTTAAAATTATAGATTTTTGAAATCGTAATTTTAATTATAATCAAGTAAAAATATTAAATTTTTAATTTTCGTCAATTTTCACACTTTCGTTTTAATTAACTTAAATCAAACTATACTTACTATGAAGCAAAAAATATTAATGCTGTGCATTTTATCATACCTCAGTATTTATTTTTATATGTATATTATTATTTTATATTTATGGATATTTATTCATTTTATTTATTTTGAATTTTTATTTGAAATTAAAGAACATTATAACAGCTCTAAACTTTTAAGGGTCAATGTTTGAAGTATTATTTTAGCAATAGATGGCAGCATTAGTTTTTTTTTTTTTAATGGGATAGTAATTTGATGTTTATAAAATAATAAACCCATCATAATATTTTAAAATAACTTTCATGGTTTTTTGATTTGTTATTTCGTTAGTTTCCATTTGTATAAAGCTTCATTTATAAATGTGCTTTATGCAAATAAAAAGTTTTTTTTTAATTTTTAAATATTTACTTTCTATTATATATCAAGTAGGTACAACAAAAACTACAAATTAAACAACTTGTAGTTTTTGTCATACTTACTTAATGAGAAGGCTTGTGTGCCTTTACTAAACGATATATTTATGTTTCGTAAGTACCAAAAATATAATTAAAAATTAGTCTATAATCTTATGAAATTGGTTAATTTAGTATTTGTTAAAATTTCTGCACTAAAGTATAATTTTTTTTATTTTGTTATAAATGCTGAAGCTCATTTTTATTTGTATAGATATGGAATCAGAATGCTTTCCTGCTGTATCTATATCGTCAAGCAGTGGTCAAACAGACTTTGTTGAAGACATAATCATCAAACAAGAGCCGGCATCTCCTCCACCAGCAGAAACATCTTCTCGTTCCCACAATCTGTCCACAATATCCTCCCTCCTCAATGCTCCGTCACCACCTTTGTCTTCAGCATCATCTGCTTTGCATCCTCAATCCCTCCTCAAGCAGCCTACCATAGTTCTTGCTGCAAGGCCATCTTCTCTTCAATCTTCAACTTCCAGAGACAACCAAATGCTTTATCCCAAAGTCAACATCAAAGTGGAACCTGCAGTCTCAAGTATGTACATACACTTATCTTTTAAAATATTTTGACTAATTGACTACCTTACCAATAAAGTCCCTTTGCTGCTGGCAGTATAGGTTTTAATTTAACTTATTCTGGACATTGATATCGACAAACAACCGCCATGGACGAAATGCATTACAGGAAATTTGCATTGTTTGAATATCAATGTTGATTTCCAATAAATCTAATTTGTATTTATGAATTTTTATTCCTGAGTATCTATAAGCAATAATAATTAAACAAGAATATCCTTGCATTTTTTGAGAATGCAAATCTAAAGAGGCAATAAGCACTGCATATAGAAATAATTTTTTAACATTTTCTTCTCCACCTTGCATTTGTTTTAGTATAAGTTTTATATGTATTTAAAATTCTTTGCAGTTCAAATTTGCAATAATCTAACAGAAACTAGGTCATTCAAATGCAACAGAACAAATGGAAATCAAACAATTAAAAAACTGAACTTTTGGAATGCCTCATAATTTATTTTTACTTCAAGGCTGGACACAAATTTCATGGGCCTTGAATCAAAGTTCTTCGAGAGCTTCTATTCTAAATCAAAAACGTGTAATTTTATATTTTGTAAACTACGTGAGAGAGCCTTTTTTAAACAATAATTTACTTTTTGATTCTTAAAATATTAATTTTCATAAACATGCAAAAGAATTTTCAAGCACTTACTGATTCTTAAAATTTCCCGGCTGTATTAGAACAGTCCCGATAATAATTTCCGCAGTCTTCTATCCCTTGAGTGCATTCCTATTTTCTTTTATAATTGATGACTTCACTCTTCAGTGCAACTGGGTATCAGAGAAAAATATTGTTGGAAGAAAAGTTAGTGCTCAATTAAAGGTATGTCTATTAAAAATTTACAACAAAAAAAATAAAAAAAGCTCAGTGTTTAATTCAATGCAGAAATTTTATTGAAAACAGTTTGAAAAGACAAGTAGAACTAATCCATTTTTTTTTAAAAAACCACATTTAAAATATTAGTTTGTCAAAAACATAATTAAAATTTCGAAAATTTGTTAGGATTCCCCTTAATTTTTTAGGAGCTGGTAGAAAATTGAAGACTAGTGCAAGAACGAGGGATTTTAGCAATATTGAAGGTAACAAGGTTTTAAACACATAAACTTAAAAGCTATATTTTGCTTTCAGGCTTGATTCCCAAACTATTAACCAAGTAAAAATATACATATATAGTATGCAAATTTATAGGTTTATAAAAAATATTGAATTAAAGAGTTCATTTGGCAAAACTTAGTCTTAACTGGTAGATAGTTCAAAAATGTTTTCTAGTTAAAAAATGTAAATAAATTTTTCTGGCTCTGAGAATATTAAAGAAGTCTTTTGGGTTATATTCTTCCAAGATTTAAAGTGGAGAAGAAATCTCGTTGGAACTTTTATTTCGGATATTAATGTATGAGCTTAGATGAATAAAATAGTTAGCTAAGCATTGACTGGAGAGTATTAAAATAAGAATTTAGAAGAAAAATCTAATCAGTTTCAGAAGAATTGGAACACTATTTCAGCCTCCAAAACTACTTAAATACCTCTATACAAAGTGGCTATATAGAGAGTGGCTGTGTTAAATTGTCATTTTAATTTTAGAAAAAAAGTTCATAAAGTACAAAGGAATCATGTTCAAACTTATATATTATAAGCTCCATTAATGAAATATACTTTTCCTTCGTCACTTAAATAATTCATATCTAAGGAAGCTTTATGTTTACAAAATCTACTGTAGAGATCTAGTTATTTTATATATAGTGCAATTAATTGAACCATAAATAGTGTTATTCTGGACCCCTAACTGATGCTTTATAATTTTCTCTTTAGTAACATATATTAGCTACAATAATTTTATTTTTACTTTAATTATATTTGTATGAAATTTTCTCACTATTAAGAAGTCCTTGAAAATAATATTAAAAAAATGATTTAAATATTCATATTTCATGTGCTTTCCACGTACATCTAGAAAATATTAAATGTTGTGTAAATAATTTTAGCTAGTGGATTTTCACTTCCTCCGACTCCTCCTTCTTGCAATGGTAGTGATTCTGAGGGAAGTCTTTCTCCAGTCCATGGCAGTTCCTCCTCACACTCATCTTCATCATTAGGTTTACTTTCCACTTCATCATCTTCATCTTCATCCACTCAGTCTTCGGGACACACTGGAGGACGAAAGTCACATGCAAAGGTTGTAATGCCTGTCACATCAAAGCATTCTAGTAATAGCCAAACAGCTCTTATCAGTAGTCAACCGGTAAGAATCGAGCCATTTTAGACTTTGACTACCATATGTTTTATAATAATGAAACTTATTTTATCTTTATTCTCAAAATATTTAACATATATGCCAAATTGCAATTTTTCAATAATATTTAATGTCAAGAAAACTGAAAAATTCTGTCTGAAAACTTATCTTTTGGATATTTAGTACTTAATTTTTCGTGATAAATATTTTATTTTAACTTAATACTTCAGAAGAATTCCAAAACTAAGCTAGTTTTCATTAATGCGAAATATTTTATTTATTTCACATTCTCATTTATAAATATGGTACACGTTTTATTACTGTATCGAAGTTTGATTTTAAAAATAATTCAAATTTTGAAATTTTATGAACTGTAAATTTATGCTGGAACTTAATTACTGAACATATTACTCAATGATTCTAGATTTATTGAACTAAAAAAATTTTACTTCTTTAGGATCTAACCTGATTTCTAGTTTACAATAGCTTCTGTAGGTAGAGTTAATCTGTTTTCTAAATTCTTCTACTCCTTATTTCATCAACAAAAAAGCTGATGTGAGCATTTTTTTTTAATTGAACATCATGCTCTGTTTTAAACGGGACTGCAAACTTCTTTTCCCAGTTGTTAACTTTATTTTTATGCAGATAATAAATATAAGCATAAGTTTTAATTTATATATTTGATAAACATATTTGCAGTATTCTAATGAAATATTTTATTGCTTATTTTAATAGAAAGGTGCCACTGGAGTTTTACATCTGACAGATGAAGAGAAAAGAACCTTATTGGCTGAAGGCTATCACATTCCACAAAAATTACCTCTCACTAAAGCCGAAGAAAGGTCCTTAAAGAAAATAAGAAGGAAGATTAAAAATAAAGTGTGTATTTTCGTTATTTTTATTAAATATAACATAACTTTTTTTTTTAAAAAATATATTTTAACGACCAAATTTATAAAACGTTGAATCAATATATGTTACTTGGTACTGAAGAATCATAATATTATAGATATATACATTATGATCACCATATACTTTTTCAAAGTAGTGTTTTTTCATATGTGTGAACTTTGTAACTTCTTTAGTTTTCAACTGATTTTACTAAACATTTAACGGCAAGAGTTAAATAAATTCTAAAATTTGCCAGGTTAAGTTAAACATAAAATTACTAATAAATTCGTATCTTGGGAAATATAAAAATTAAATTTGTACCCTTGAAAGACAGGAAGAAATAGTGCACACAAATTAGCTTCTCATGCTGTAAAACCTCGCTAAATATTTTCAAATTATTTTAATTATACCAAATAACTTTCTTAAAATTTTTTATAACCAAGAGTAGAGTTAGATACAGTTCCCAAAAACAATTAAAAAAAGCTTAGTCACCAATACTGTAAAGGAACCTAAAATTACTTTTTTTAAAAGAAAATAGTTCTGTATCAGGTGTGATGCATAAGAACTGAGTAAATCGCTTAAAACTTTTCAAAACTTAAAATACATATAATGCACTATAAAAATAAACCATCATAAACTATTTCAGATGATACACTTAACTCTAGATGGCAATTTTAACAAATATATTTGCATGCGTTAGGTTTGATTTTACAATGCATACTTATGAGTCCAATTCTGTTATATCCTTTTAATTATATTGCCTTTATTTTCTAGATATCTGCTCAAGAAAGTAGACGGAAGAAAAAGGAATACATGGATGCTTTAGAAAAAAAGTATGAAAATTACACAGAAATAATTCTAATATGAATATTTTAATTTAATAGCTTCATAATTTTGTACACAAATTACTCTCATAGCTAAAGAAATTTATTTAAATATGTTTTGTAATAATGATTTTGAATATTTAGTTCATGTTTCAATTGATATTTTTATAATAGTTGAGATCATAAATGAAAAAAAAAACTTGAAACGAAATTACTTAAAAAATATTTGTTAAAATTAAAAAAAAAAATTTTTCACTTTAACAAAAAGAATATGCAAATTTATGAGAAAAATTCTAAAATTTCAAAAAGTGTTCATTTTGATGCATTCAGATGTCCAACATATTATATATTGAATTAATAAATGATTTTTAAGTGCACAAAATGCAATGATCAATTATGAGCACAATAAAAATAATATACTGTTTCATAATTTTTCATAAAAATTGTGAATTTCTTTTTATTATTTCTTCTTATAACTTAAAAAATAATCAGAATGTTCAGATTCAGAATAACACTAAAGCAACAAATTTTTTATTCTACTAGAACTAGAAAAGTAGGTGCCCTTATGCTTTGTAATCATTATCAAATAATTTATTATCATTATTTATCAAATAAAATAACATATTATGAAAACAACAAACTTAATCATAATTCTATTTTATAAGATATATTCTCCCAGTGTCTATATTTTTTTCTAAATTCCAGTAAATATACCATAAACTAAAATATAGTTTAAGAGTTGTTTAATTTTTAAAGAACAATATCTATTATAAGGAAAAATATCTATTACAATGATTGTTCTTTTATACCCTGTATAAATTACAAGGTTACATTTTTAAGATTTTAATCTAGTTAATTTTCTTTAGAGTGGAAATCCTTTCTTGTGAGAATTCAGAGTACAAGAAGAAATTGGATTCTTTGGAGGGAAACAATAGGTAACTTATAATTATTAAAATTTTCACAACTTGTCTTACTTTTTATCTGTCTACAAACTGGTCATAAAACCGTACGATGGGTTTGACATTGTATAACTAGAAAACTACTCTGGATGCTACAAAATTTGGTAACTAAACATGCTAGAGCAAGTAAATATTATGAAAGTATGATTGCTAATGCAACATTTTTTTTAAAAAAACATATCAATCAAAAGAATTAAACACCATAGAAAAAAAAACTTTAATGTAAAATAATTGCTATTATTAAATTATTTCAAAATATAAAGAAAGTGATTCATAATTCTCCACTAATTTTTCCTATTAAATATATAAAAAAATTTTTTTAAATTTTTAATTCCGAAATATTTTTTTTTTTAGTTTGTATTGAGTGTCTGAAATATTTAATATGAAGAATTCAAGCAGCAAAGGATTCTCATTATTTATGATCAACCTGCTCTAAGCATTCCAAGTTTTCTAAGATTTCTTTTTTACTGGTTTTAGACATGTTTCTCAACTTTTAAACCCTCTCAGGGGTTTATCTCTTTTAGAAAAACATTGGATCTACAACCCCTAAGATGTCTTTATGATCTTTTCTCCTTTTGTTTTCCCCTCGCATTTAGTTTGACACCATTTGATTTTCTTGAGTTATGTAATGTTTTCTATATTTAATTTGATGTAGCTGTTTTTAGCTGTTGGACTCATCAATCTATCTAACTTTCCTTCAAGTTATTCAACATTACGATAAAACAGCATGAAAAACACTTGGGTATTGCTAAACCTGTCCGGCAGTAATACAAATTATAAATTTTTTTGTCTACTGTAGTATGCAAGTTATACAAAAATATAAAGGTTTTAATGGGCATTTTATATCACATAATTATAGTTATCTATAGTGAGTTAATGGTTAGAGTTTGTTATGAATGTTGGGAAATACCATAACCAAGTAATGGATTAAAGGCTGTAGTGTATGTCTATATTTAAAGCCAAACTCTGTTAACATTAGGCTTTTATCTATAATACATTTATTAATCTCTGTTTGAGAATAATAATTATTTTAATGTTAACTATAGTTATTTGTTGTGTTTGAATGATTTGTTTCAAGATGACTTATTTATGTAACACATAAATTTTTCAAGATTACTGATATTGAGTATCAGGAAATTTCATTTTTATTAAACATATAATCAATATAAAAAAAGTGGAACATACTGATAAACAATGTCATTACTCTAATGCTAACCAAATTTATATTAACAAGCTAAATATTATTGGTAATTACTTATAAACTGCTTGCATTCCAAAGCATGTTTTTGTTAAATATTTTGTAACAAATATTTGTACATCGTTTGATACACATATGTTCATATTTTATTTTAGATCCCTTCTTTCTCAACTGCAACATCTACAAGCCATTTTAAGTGATATGCCTAGCAAAAGAAGTCGTAATGCAGCCACACAGACCCTTCCTAGTTTATCTGTAAATATTTAAGCTGTTATTTTACATTCATATAAAATTATGAATATATGAATTATTATAGTGCTTTAGATTTGTTTTTTTTTAAATAAAATTTTTTTTTTCAGTCTGTGAGGCATAATGATGGTGTAGTTAATTCTGAAGTTTCTTCTGAAGTGAGAGAAAATGGAGATGGTAAGTTTTTTTATTCCAATTAATTTTTGTCGTTTTGTTTAGATAATTGAAGCTAAATGTTTTTTCTTTTTTTGCAGCCAAACGAAGGTAGCAACATTGCACCTATAGAGTTTGTATACATTCCGGTAAGTTAGTAAAATACCACCATTCCTATCTACTTTTTATAAGTAATAGCTACCACGGTTTTATAGTCTTGGACAACTTTACTTTTAAATATTTACAACTTGACTATGAAAAATTTATTTTAACTAATGTCAAAATATTTTATCAAATAAAATTATATATTTAAATTTTTTATAAAAAGTGTCATAAATTTTTGGAATGTGTTTTATTATTAATCTGCATCTGTTTTAAAAATAAGACCCTAAAAATGCTTCTTTTTTTTCTATTTTTGAAAAGAAGTTTGTCTAATGCTCCAATGATACGATGGATTTCTCTTTAAACTCAAGATTCAGTTCATGTTGACATTAAACTATTAAAATTGCATGCAATTGACAGATTTAGAAAAAGTATCTTTTTTCAAACTTAGCATAATTTACAACTTAGAAGTCTTATTACAATGAATTTTCACTATTATTCCATATTGCAGAGTTGAAAAACTGCATAAGAATTAAATTTAAAATTATTACAATGATATATGAGAATTCTGAGTTTAATAAATAAGATTTTTACGAATGTCTCTAAATGAACCTTACAGATTTCTAAAGTTCAATATGTAAGCTGTAAAAATAACATTTCCTCTATTTGATGGAAAAGATATTTTAAAATATAATGCTCTAAGTTTTTAACTAAGAAGAAAATTCAGACCATTGCCAATATCCCTTAATATTACTCTAGAGAGGCATAAAAGATATATGAAAGACTTAATTTTATTTCATTATTTAACACTAATCCTCCATCATGCACTTTTAAGCAATGATTTTATTTTTGTTTGAACTTTAATTATTTTTCTGTTTAAAATAATTAAATAACTACACTTGAAATTTCTTATTTTAATAAATGTTCTCCACAAATTTTACACAAACATAAATTATAACAATTCAATAGATTTTTTTCACGAGTTTCCAAAATGTACCACAGTTCCTGTTTAAAATTTCATAGGATAGTTGAATTTTGAAAAAGGAATTTTTATTTACATAGAGTTGACAACTAGCAAAACCCTGTGTAATGAACAAATATTGAAAATAATAAAATTCTTAGCTATATTGCGAGATTCAAAGTGCAACTTAGTCTCAAAATTTTTCAAAAACTGATATGCATTTATTACCAAGTCTAAATTATTGATTTATGTTTCCTTTACAGAGAATTGGAGTGTTCTGAAGCGTCATATGTCCTCCATATTTTTGAATAAGTGGTTTGCTGTTCATGTGCTTATAGCTTTTATTATGTCATCCACTTCAACCAGAGACTTATTTCCCTTCATCTGTTTTTCCATGTTCTAAATTATGGGATAAGTGTCTCATGGTATCATTATGCATTTTTCTGGACATGACTTCAGAATTTGAACTCTACTAATTTTTCTAATGTGTAGCCAAAATTTTCCAGAATGTTTTTTTTTTTTCTTTTCTTGTTATGTCTTGTACTTCAGATTCTATGACACTGCTGAAATGCTTGTCGATTATTGTTTCTTTTTTTAAATTATATAATTTTGAGAGTTTAATTTTGATTTTGTTTTCTGCCTGCCACATGTTTATAAAATATATGTCTGAATGAAATATGCCATTTTAAAGTTTATTGTTGATGAATGCATTTGAAATATGTTTGAGAAAATTGATTTATTCCTTATTCTATTATCTATATTTTAAATAAATTAACATACTATTTTAAAAGGAGTTTTAATTTTAAACTGAAAAATAGCATAACAATATAGCAGTTTATAAATTTCACATTGGTCAACAAATTTAACGAAACTATTTTGAAATTAAAATTGCAAAAAAGATGAGTCGAATAATATTAAAAATAATAAAATAAAAGTTATTCTCAAATCATATTAAAATACAGTAAATGTACTTTAACTTATTTGACCATAGATTTATTTTAATTTAACCAATGAAGCAAATATTCATGTTTAGATTTTATTTCATCTTAAAGATATATTTTTCATTTATGAAATCACTGTTTCAAATCATTTTTAAAATTAACATACCTAGTTTTAAATATTTGTAAGATGTGTCGTTTTTTATGTTTTTTTACACATCAATTTAACTAAGGGTCCATAAATAGTTATATGAATTGATGTTTAAATTATCTTAAACTACACATTATTAAAATTATGTAAATGACAACAGATTTAGAATTTAATAAAGGTATAAACATTTGAAATTTTTGATCTTTATAACAATATAATTTTATCAAATATATCTCACAATTAATGATATCTACAGAAATATACATATGTCCATGTAAATGTAACATGAAAGTCTCATGGTACAAAAGATTGACTATATTTTTTGGAAGATTTAATCTATTTATAAAAACTTATAAACCTTAGCAAATGTCCATACTAAAGGTAAATAGATTCCCTGTTTTAATGCCTATTCAAAAATTTACGCTTACATTATGAAATAAGTAAAGAATATTTTTTCCTTCATTTTTTCTTCTTTTTTTAGGTTTTCAAAGGCTCTTTAGAAGTATTAACTTTCATATTCAGAGAAAAGTTTTATTTCATGCTAGATACGGTAAACTGTGTTGTGATATAAAATACTTTTTCATAAATTATATTTTTTCGGTGATATTGAAGTGATTAGGTGTTGAGTGCCAAAAAACTCATTCTGTTACTACATTTTTCTTATACATCTCATTATTTCTATTTTTCAACCTTTGAATTACTAAGAAAAATTCTACATTCCATTGCAGCTATCCATAAAAAAACCAACACTAACATTTTCCTTTTTTGTTAATCCTAACCTCCAAACCTTTTGAGATTAATACAAATACTATTGTGAAGTGTTTTATTAGTTCTGTCTACATATCTGTTGATTATGTAAAACACATAATTTTCAAGTTTTAAGTAAATTTAGATATGTTAGTGTTTATTTGTAAGAAACACAATGGAAATTTAAAAGTTGATTAAACTTGAGAAAAAAGTGCCTCGGAGAAAAACTAAGTCAGGGTATCAAAATATTTTACTGTGTTTCATTATATTCATTAATCTTCAAATAAGAACTTCATATTTTTCTATCTGATTTTCTCAACAGTGGCATATACTTTGTTAGTTGAATATTTTAATGTGTTTTTCATTTAAACTTTAGATTGTATTTTTGAATTTCAGACTTTTCTAATAGCATTGTACATATCATATCCATTTCCTTACAGAAAATTTGCATTGTGTTTCAAGAAAGTACTTATGTTTGTGACATGGCCGTGCCTTAATATGGCCCATTATTTACTTGAGCAACTAGTCTATAAGCACTAATTTTTATATTATATATATACATATATATATTAGCTTAATGGTAAGGGTTGATGTTATTTACTGGGAAGATTGATTTACTAGATCATTTATGTGCAATGTTTTCATTAATGTAGCTTTTTATAATTATGAGAGCCTATACAGATATTTTGATGAAGAATACTTTAAACATTCAAACTTCAGGTTTAAGTGAAGTGTTGACTAGATTGATTTGTAGATTTTTTTACTTGTACAGGTTAAAATTATTTTTGTCATTATCAAGTCTATAAATTGTTATGTCACAAATTAACCTTTTTAAACTTAAAAACAAAGTTGTAAAAACAAATGTTATGCTTAAAATATTAAACACTCAACATTTCATTCAATCCTGATGAAAATATATTTTTGACAGCCTTCATCAAAAATTTTATTTTTGGGCAATATATTTGAATGTTAAAAAAAACACATCAATGTCCATTTCTGTGACATAAGTTATATATAAATGATATAGAATATATGTATACACTATATATTATATAAGAGAAAAATAACTATGTTTTAAAATTCATATACACTCATTGGTCATTAAAATATTTCTGATATTCATTTCATATGGAAGAACATTTATATTGTCACTTTGAATTTTCAAGTTCCTGATTACATATTAAAAATGTATTAAAATTAGTGTTTTAAGCAAAGCTTTTGTATATCTGTTTGAGTTTTATAGAGAAATATATTTATATATTCAAATGAAAACAATTTGTCAATTCTAATATATTTATTGCACGAGATTTTAACAACACAATTCAATTTGCATTTTTGCATCCTATTTATTTGGATTCATGAAATGATGAATATCAGTATCATTGTTTAGGTAATATAGGAGATGTAGATATTTATTTATTAGGTGTAATTTCAAATTATTATAGTTCATACATTTCACTAATTTATTAAATTACTTTCCATGAGTAGTTGATTCATAAGGAATCTCAGTAAGTCATTGGAAAAATACAATAGTTTGTTTGATAAAATACATCTTTTATAAATAAATTTATTAAATTAAAATTTATTATTTTGTAAATGTTAAAAAAAAAGCATAGTGGTTTTCTTTTGAATACCTGTTATTGTGACATTTGTTGGTCTGCTTCTGTACAAATGTTTTGTAAAATAAAGTATAAAATGTAGCTATTGGTGCTGATATTATATGAATAAAAATAAGCTTGATGTAAACAGTTGTCTTCATTTAACTTGTTTATGGGATATGAATTATTGAAAAAAATTTGCACAAAATTATAAAATTTTTTACCCGAAGATAATTCCGTACAAGAAAAAAATGAGTAAATACATATTTATTATTTTTCATTTAATTATAGTCGAAAATTTTTTGAATTTTAAGGCATACAATGTTTTACATCATTTTAAAGTATGTAATTTTACATGGTTAAATACAAAATTCGAGCAAAAACGGTAGAATTGTTCCTGAGAAATCGACTTTTAAAAATACAACTTCTTCAAAATTTAATTTTCTAAGGAACTGTTCAATCGATTTTGCTCTAATTTTGTATTTTGCCATGTAAAATTACATACTTTAAAATTATGTGAAAAAATTGTATGCCTCAAAATTCTAAAAAGTTTAGACTTTTAATTAATAAAATAATAAATACTTACCAAAATTTATTCTTTGGATGGAATTATTTTTGGATAAATGAATTTGATAACAGTGTGCAAAAGTTTTCAATTCTCTTAAAAACTTTTCGATATATGGCGAAATACATAAAAGGTAAAATTAATATTAAGGGGTTCAAACTTCGGATCGCTCTCCTAATCAAACTATCGAGACCATATTTCCCAGAGTGCGGTTACCCCCTATATTTTTTAGGGTCAAAATCCGAATCCGTTGGAAAAAAAGAAAGGCATGTTTAATCAGAGAACGTACGTTTTTGTGTGATTTCATAACTTAAAATATCGTCTGCATTAATTAATCAGCATATTTAACGTTACCCCCCTAGAAACAGTAAGAATGAGTCCTAGAACATGAAGATCCGATAATTAGATCAAAAGTTATTCATTGTGGTCCGTTCTTTTTGGCGCACAATAGGGGAAAGTAGCTGTAAGTATGTGTCTCGTTAATCGCGAAATTTTTTTTTTCTAGCCAAACTAAAGCTAGAACTGAAACGATTTTACTACTAGTTTTTTCTCCGCTCCAGGGCACTAACAGGCTTGTCATAAAGTAACAGGTATTTAGATTTTAATTACTAAAAGGAGTCAACTGAATCAAATTCCATCAAATATCCCAGTCATTAATTCTGACTCATAGGAAAATAATAGTTCGGAATAAAAATAAAAGTATATTTTTGAATGGAAACTACAAGAGAATTTTAAATTATTTAATTGCTGATAGAAGGTTACTAGAGCACAAAAGTAAAAATTCAATACAGTGGTATGATTGCCTGAACTAACCAAAATTTTAAAATGATAAGTCTAGAATTAAGAAGTTTTAATAACTGCTTCATTTAGGCAAATGAATCACTTAATTGCTTACTCTATTACTGTGAAATAATGGGGGGGAAAACAGATGTTAATAATTAATTTTTATCTGAGAAAGAACATCTATAATACATATTGAAGGCAAATTTCCTTTACACAGAGTGATTAACAAGTTTTAAGGGGGGGGGGGAAGTTTTCGTTTGAATATTTAAAAAATATATATTTGAGTATCCTAAGACAGGTTATTGAATGAAATAAATATCTTCAAAAAAAATCCCTTTTAACAATTAAAAGTAAAGTTCTGAAAGATGTTTCTCAAACATTACAAATATCTGTCTGATATCATTGAAATATTGTACAGATATTTGGGGGTAGATGTATTTATAAGTTACATGCATACAAACCACCTATATTTCTAGAATTTACCTCACGTATTTTTCTCTCCTAATAGATTCATAGATTTTAAAATTGCAGCAAGAAATAAAGTAAAATTTGTTTTTAGCTTTTCTTTTCTTCTTTTTTAAATGGTTCTGAAATGGAAATGCCTGAGCTAATGATACTTCACTTACCCGCCCTTTGGAAATCCATCAATGATCAATCAATAACTAGTAGCTACCAATAGGTATAAGTTTCTCTTTGTATGTGAATAAGAATCGTCCAAATAAATCAGCGCAAACAACTGGTTACTATTAACAACCACAAAATTACAGCAATTGGTTGATTTATTCCATTAAAGTGATATAGCTCTGCTCAGCCTCAGTCTTGGACATCTATAAAGAGATGAGCCTCATTTTTTTATCAAATAAAAATTTTCGCTAAATTTAAAAAAATATTTGATTAAATATGTTTTATATTGGTCACGACTATCTTCAGCCTCGCCTTCATCGGATTGGTGTTTCAGAAACTACTGACTGCCCTCTGTGCTCTTCAGGCAAAGTGATGAGTTTTAAACACTTGACAAATTGTGCCTCTATGACCAATACTATTTTACAACTATCTTTAGAATGCTGTTTTATACTGGACTGCTAGAAGGGAATTGGTTCATAGGGCCAATCCCCTGACCTAGGAAAAGAAAAAGATTTTATATAACATTAATTATCTAAAATAATCAAAAATATGATAAAGGAACCGACATGAATATTTGTATCCGACATGAATATTTGTACTATCATATTATAACTCAAAAAGATTGTTTCAAATAAATGCTATAAAAATAAGGGTACAGTTAAATTTCGGTGAAATGAAATTTATTTTTTACTGTTTTTCAGCCATTTACATGATACATTGCATATTTTAAGCCAAATTGTGGGTCTCCTATAATTAAAGTAAATAATAATTTATAATAGGGGGGGGGGTCGAAACACATTAAAAAAATAAAATTTATTTGAAATTCTTGGACTTGGTAATTCATTTAGATGGTTAATTATCAGCGATACTTTCTGTGTAGTACCATATTTTTATTCTAAGAAGTATTTTTAGGTACCTCTGCCTTACAACCTGCATTAAAGTAAAACTTTTCATTTTTTTTTTTGGCTTAAATAGTTACCTTCTTTAAAAATTGTTCTAACCTTCAGTTTGTTCAACTATTGTGGCTTTCAATATCTGCAACACTAATAAAGCCATACTAAAAAATTCACACCATCGAATATGCTATGTATAAAATAATATGATAAAAGCTTTATGAAAAACTGTCTTTTAAATTAAATTAAATTTTAAAAAAAGCTAGCTAGAATAGTTAAAAGTATCCAAAATGGAAAATTCTTTTCAAGTTAAATAAAAAATTTAAAAAACACTTGTATATGAAAGATAACTGTTAATATAGGTGCTTAAATATATTGTATGTCTCACAAAATAATAAGTGAAATATGAATAACATACTAATTGCTTGATTGAATGTAGGGTTTAATGGCACTAAGTCCAAATAAGGACATGCTGCCCCAAACAATACGATATTACAGTTTAAAAGCTAAGGTCAAAGTGCATACAACACTTTCACTGTATAATTTTTATTGTTAAATGGTACAAGTTAATAAAATCATATAAAAGGTATAAATAAAGTTAGATAAAAGGGTATGAATACAATATAAAATAGAATGTTTGCAAACTGAATAAAATTGTAGATGATTAAAACATTCAAATATTGTTAAAAAATACCAACAGCACGTAAAAATGTTAATATAATGAATGTCATTCAATAAATCATGTATACATAAAATTGAACTCCCAAAAAAGGTAAAACGTTGTTGGTCAGAACATGGGCAAATTATTAAAATGTGGTGAATTGTGAGCGGAACATTACAAATATGGCATTGAGGAGAAGGTTCTCCAAATAGCAAATGAAGGTGTGTTAACCGGGTGTGACCTATTCGTAGACGGGTAAGTCTAACGTCTGCACTACGCTAGTGCAGCACAGGAAACTAGTTCAAATCTGCTTTAATATTATGTAGTTTATTGAAAGTTTGGAGGTACCAACTTTGTTACCATAAAGATGTAATAAATCGTCGAACATGCTGCTTAATATCCGAGAAAGGTACAGATAATGACAGGAGAGCAGTGGCAGATTGAGCAGCAGAGTCAGCTAGGTCGTTTCCTGGTATACCAACGTGACTTGGCAAACAACAGAACAACATATGAAACCCATTTTTATGAAGAGTGATCAACAGATGAATAATAAAACATAGAATTGGATGATTATTACTGTTAAAATTATCTAACTGGCGCAAAACGCAACGCTCATACTATCGAAGTAAATACAATATCTCTGTGTAGAGCGTGAAGAAATCAGTCTTATTGCCAAAAGGATGGCAACAGCTTCAGCAGTAAAGACGGAGCAAATATCTGGGATTTTATAGCTGTAGGTGTCATCAGCGTTGACGACACTACAGCCAACATACACAGCAGATTTTGAACCATCAGTAAAAATATTCAGAATATTGATTACGATGTTCAATAAAGAGTTGATGGAAAATGCAGGGTGCAATATTGGTCGTACTGAATAACATAAATGAGGTAATAAAATGATATGGTGCGATGGTCCATGGTGGTATAAGAAAGTGATCCACTGATTGCGAATGCAATTCACAAATATCGAACGTTTGAATGAGTGAGTGCGTGTGAGCATGAAATGGGTGAGTATATGACGGTTTAGCAACATACCGTGGCTTCAGGCTTGATGAAATAACGTCATACTTTAATGGATGAAATTTAGAGGACATGATACGAAAGTAATAAGTGAGAGACATCTGCATGCGACGTAGGTCTAATGGCAGCTTATGGCAAACAACATATAATCTTTCGACTGGGGATGTACGAAAGGCGCCAGAATCTATGTTCAAAGCAGTATGGTGTACTGTGTCTAAGGCTCGTAGGTTAGAAGCGGTTGCAGTACCATAAACTACACACGCATAATCGAGCCTCGACAGTATCAAGGTTTGATAAATGCGCGGTAAGACTCGGCGATCCGCTCCCCAAAACGTATTTGACAGCACACGCAACATATTTAATTTCTGCTCATTGTTTTCGTAATTGTTTTATATGAGGGATAAAAGTTAGTTTGCTATCGAAAATGACCCCTAGAAATTTTGTGTGTTGCACAACTGGAATAGCAATGTTGTGAATGAAGATGACTGGCTCTTTATGCAAATTGCGTTTCCGGCAGAAATGGATGCACGAGCTTTTAAAAGGAGAAAGGGTATGG